ACAATATATATATATATATAAAGGGTGGTATTTGAGAATACCGCTCCCCATATGTGCTATCAGTCCCCGTAAGGATCGAACTCGAGTTAGAGGGATCTCACGACTGACAATATAGCTAGCTGCCTTCCAACTTGCCACCCAAGGGCGCGCGCGCGCGCACACACACACACACACACATATATAATAAGATGGAAATCTTTATCACTTCATTTTAATTTTGTATTAGACTAATCATTATGCCCACTAAAAAAGAAATGGTTCCTCTTACATTTATTTTATAAAAATTCAAATAGATTTGATTATTTATAATACATTGCATCTATTTTACTTTATATATTAGAATACTTGCAACAAAACAACACCCCTTAGTTTTTCCCCCTTTAATTTTCATTATGTTATATGCTTTATTATCAGAAAGTGACAAGCTACAATCTCTCAAACCTTAAATACTATTATATGCTCTGGCTTATTATTTGTCATCCACTTAACCATACCACATTTATAAACTTATTTTTTATTATTAGCTAATTTTGTATGGACAAGTACGTAGTTCTCAATTAATTTTATTGATTGAGTTTCTTTTCTCTTTTCCTCCTATGATAATTGACAGACAAAAAGACAGATCATCTATGCCGGCATATGTTGCTGTCATGTATCCAGTGTAGCTCTCGGTGGATGTATATTTTAAGAAAGATTTACGTACATACCACTCAAGCCTATATATTTATATATCTGATATCTAAACTTCAATTTGTACACATATGCCACCTTAATATGCATGAAAAGGTGTATTTCACTTTTAAAAGTTAAAATAATGATTTTTTTAATGTGATATGAAAGATTTGTTGAAATATAAAATTTATTTTTACTTTTTGGGCCTTAGTTGTTTAAATAAAGCCCAATAAGAGCCTAATTTCTAGAAGTATGTTCTAGAAAAGTCTCGTCTAGAAGCTTATTCTAAAGTAATCCATAGAGTTGTCTAGAATGTGTGGTAGGTATGGAATTATAAAGAGGATTCTAGAGAGTCATTTGTAACCATTAGATTAGAATTGTAGCCATTAATTAAGAAGGAGCCACTAGTATAAATAGGGGTGGAGTCTTTGAGTTTGTATGAAGCTAAGAAAATGTGATAAATAGAAGTGCAGCTTCTTCCATAAATTTTTGACCTTTGTCAAATCCTAAAAACTTTTCTATTCCAACAAAATGGTATCATAGTCTAAAGGTTCCTCTATAGAGCAATAACAAACAGTGGCATGGTTTCCTCCCAAGTCCCGATGCTTAAGGAAAGCATCTACTACAATTGAAGTATCAAAATGAAGACATTCTTTGGAGCGCATGACGTTTGAGAGGTTGTGAAGAAAAGCTATGATGAGCCAAGCGACGAGTCCGCTCTATCCACAACACAAAAGGATAGCTTAAGAGACTTGTTAAAAAGAGACAAGAAGACTCTCTTTCTCATCTATCAATTTTTAGATGAAGATGGTTTTGAGAAGATCTCAAGTGCTACTTCGGCCAAGCTAGCATGAGAGAAGCTCGAGATCTCGTATAAGGGAGAATAAAAAGTTATAAAGTTACAACTTCAAACTTTAAGAAGTCAATTTGATGCTTTGCATATAAAAGAAGACAAGTTGGTCTTCGATTACTTTTCTAGAGTCATTACCATTTCCAATCAACTAAAAAGAAATTGTGAGAAGTTAGAAGATGTGGCATCATGAAAAAGATTCTTCGATTGTTAGATTCAAAACTTGATTACTAAGATGTCAATGTCTTAAAATAGAATATTCTTGCTCAACATTCAAAACGATATTGTCAAATGTCTCACGACCTATTATAAAGATGCTTCTTGGCTCTGACATCTTCGATTTGGGCATCTCAACTTCGGAGAACTTTAATTGCTTTCAAAGAAAAAGATGATGAGAAGATTACCTTGCATCAACCACCCTAATCAATTATGTGAAGAATGTTTACTCCGAAAGCACTTCAGGAAAGCTTTCCAAGAGAGTCAAGTTCAAGAGCCCAAAAGCCTCTTGAGCTCATACATACTAATGTCTGCGGTCCAATAAAGCCAAGTTCACTCGATAAGAGCAACTATTTTCTTCTCTTCATAGATAATTTTTCACGAAAAAACATGGGTGTATTTCTTAAAACAAAAATCAGAGGTTTTTGGAATATTCAAGAAGCTTAAGGCAGATGTAGAGAAAGAAAGTGGTCTCAAGATCAAAGTTATGCGATCTGATCAAGGAGAATTTACTTCAAAAGAATTTCAAAAATTCTGTGAAGCCAACGGAATACGTCGACTTTTAACTGCTCCAAGATCCCCCCAACAAAATGGAATAGAGAAAATGAAGAATAGAACCATCCTTGACATGACAAGGAGCATGTTAAAAAGAAAGAGATTGTCAAAAGAGTTTTGGGCAGAAACGGTTGCATGTGTTGTTTATTTGGCTAACCGATCACCAACAAGAAGTGTGTACTGATTTCTTTTGCATAATTATTAAATTTCATAACTTTATCTTTTTTGGGATACCTTTGTGCCCTCTTTCTTTTTTCTCATTTAAAATGTTCCCTCCCTTAAGAGACCATTTTCTTAAAATGATGCTGAAATTCAATGTCATTGATGAAGGGATGAATCTGACAAGCACCTAAGTTGGCTTTTGAATTATAATAATGGTATGCTTTTTGGTTATTTTTATAGAAGTATAAGCTTTTTCAGTTTGCTATTTGTTTCTTGCGCAGTTTTATATGGAAGGAGACCAGTCAGCTTTATGATAGAAGGGCAAGGTTTGTGCGATGTAATTTAATAAAGGTCACGTAATGCCATTACAATGCCGCAGCTGGATATGCTATTCAGATGAAATAGGCTTTAAGCTTAAAGATTATATTTGTAATTTGTGGCTCAATTCTTATGTCTTTACATATCTAACACCTAAACTTTACTTTTATATTTATATGATACCATTTTAGGGTTTAGAAGGTATTTGGAAAGCAGGTTTTGTGAGGAGGCGGTTTTGGCATAGCAAGGAAGTGACAATAGAAGGGTGAGGGAGGTGATAAGTTACAGAGTTTTTGGAACTGGTTGATATGTTAAAATTTCTTTGAACTCCCATCATCATTGTTGATTTGTACTACATCCTCAGAATTTGAAAAACACTGCGATCGGATCCTTTACTTCGCAATATCAATTGCTATTTTTTAACTTAGAATGGC